TCCAGCATCCTGGCTGAGTGGAAGAGCCTCTCCGGCTTCAATTGAGTAGTTAGCGCTCTGAAAGTTCTCCATCATGATTCATGGGCAGGAAGGAAAATAAGGCATGTTTGAGCTGCAGCTTTTTGGGTGGTGATGCAAATGCAAGTCACGAAATGTTTACCAACAAACATGAATGTAGTTCATGACTCCATGACCTAGTTATGGTCTACGGATGTTGGACAAGCGCATCAAGTGCTTGCTTAAAAGAAGCGGCCCCAACTCCAACTGCATTGAAAGGTAGAGAGACCCGCACAGCGCAGCCGTTTTTGCACTCCTGCCGGCCTATTGACTGCCTTGCGGACTGCCAATCCTGCAATGGCTCGTGCCTCTACGCTCTCCAAGGCTCTTTTGGCCGCCGGAGCCCTCGTGGCCCTGCGCCTTTTGTCAGGCGAGACCTTTGTGACGCCGAAGCAGCGCAACGAAGCAGCAGCGGCGATGGCAGCTGCCATGGTGGCAGTATCTGCACCAGCCATGGCTGAGGCAGGGCTCATTTGGACCTGTGCGGCCATTTCATCATGTTTTATCCTGGCTGGGTCAGGCGGGAGGTTAAAGGGGGCCTTATCAACAGTCGCAATCTCCTGCATGTGCAGGTCCCCACTTTCTCCGTCTTTGGGTTTGGCAGCGGCCAGTCTGACGCTTGGCAAAACAGAATGAGGAAGGCGAGGAGGGGTGCGCAATAACGTTTTAACCAGATGGGAAGGTGGAAGCGCAAACATATTGTATTTATATATATATATATAGTTATGTGACTATGGAGGTGCACACTGCACACACTCTAAAATAGTGTTGCACCGCCGCTCCAATAACCCCTCAGGTCCAACATTTGAGTACTTTACAGGGTATTTCTAGCTAAACAGTACTGTTTTTGTCATTCATAGGTGTCGGTTCCTTTCCACCTTTGTGAAGATTGAAGACATAAAGAGCGACTGTATGTAGACACACACATATATATATATATTACAAGTTGGAACAAAGGTATACTGCGATGTAGTGGTACAAACCCGGAACCAATACACCTGTGAACCTGCCCGCACACACATTGCACTCCTCAAGAAATTGAGTTTAGCCTATCTATTATTGACCGTGCCAAACTTCCCTTCCACATTGTTTCTTTTTCCAGTGATTTCAGGCAGCGGTGTGGCAACAAAGGTCCGCCACGAAAAGGCCACCATAGTTCTATGTGTGACCGCAACTCGTATCTGCTAGGTCAAGAAGGTCCGCCCAAACGGTTTGGACTTGTTGGGAGGGCACCGTTTGGACTGGATCAAACGAGCAGCTAGCAGCTGGGCTGCTGGTGGCAGCTCATGGCCACCGTGGAACCTTCGGTCGTTTCGGTGCCCACGTTTGTACATAGACCAAGGCCCTTGGAATGATCAAGGTCTCTGGTAGATATGGACTTGTGGAAAATTTGCAGAGGTGTTTGTTTTTGTCAATAGCAGATATAGCAGATTATGAACATTTGGAGGGGTTTTGGCAGAGCAGAGGAAATTCTTGAAGAGCAACGACTTGAAAAAGGAAACTATCGGAAACAAAGGAACGTTTACAATGGAGATACTCTTTACGCGCCTCACTGGGCTGTTGTCACCGTAACCAACCGCCACATACCCGTGTTGCCATTAACAGTCATTCTTGGAGAGTGCACACAAACAACCACTCCCGCAATGTATGTTTGCATTATTTACATGTCATAAGAGTCATAACTGCAAACAGACAGTTTCTGTTTATGCGAATGCCACGTACAATGTCAATCCCGTTTTGATTCTTGTCCAACAGTCTTTTGGCCAAAACGGATGTTGGTTGGGGGCTGCGTCACACAGAAAAACATAATATAATATAGTTATTATGCAATGTCTCACTCTAACTATATATATATGTATGTATAACATGCTAAAACTTGCCGCCCAGGCCATGAGAAGAGACGGTTTCATGACTTGCATGTTGCACACACACACACACATCCCCAGCAATCTGTGCCTAATCAAGGATGCCTACAGCCAGAATGACAACCCGATCAACCCATACTCCCAGTTCAGCGATGGCAGCGACACAGTCTACCAGGCCAAGAACCAGCCTGAGATGGAGAGGAGGACCAAGTCATTGAAGGCAGGGCTGAAGCGTTTCGAG